AATACAGGAACATAAGCATAAACAGAACTTACATTTATTTACACTAGTGATCTACATCTCTTTAATCTCTTAGTGTAATGTGACTTCATATCAACACCTATGATATAAATAAACTGAGTGGGTCAGGTTGGGAAACCTGGTGAATACATAGGGTTTTCAACCGACAATAATATAATTATTATGTTTAAACAATCAAACAATCAACCCAATTACCCATCCCCATTATCTTCTTTACTCTTAAGGATTTATCCTAAGAGTCATCTATTCCGCATTCGTTTATTCCGAAGTCCCTTACTTCCAGGGTTATAGGACTGGCACTAAATCCAAAGCTGCCCATGTTCGTTCATAAAGCACTAATTCCATAGCTGCTATAGTCTATTCATCGGGTACTAAATCGATAACTACCAGTGTTTATCTAATAGGTACTAAGTCAATAGCTACCAATTCCTTAACATGTACTAAATCCCTAGCTACCGGTCTTTGTCCAATAGGCACTAAGTCCATAGTTTCCGATGTTTATTAGTTAGGCACTAAGTCTATAGCTGCCAATGTTTACTCACATCATCTTTATCTCTCATCATTCATCTACCCGTATCATACCCAACATATTCGTGTATATAAAATACGTATACAATTTAAATCATCTAAAACATGTATAAAAACGTTCATGCAACATAGACAACAAGTATGCAGATAATATGCACACATAGCACGTAGTTTATATAAAATACTTCAATATATGTGTAAGATGAAAGTAACTATGCACTCACCTGAGAAGGTGGTGACTCGGTACTCGGACAGCGCTTCGTTTACTTTAAAATAATTTCCTTCGACGAAACCTAGTATTATCACCACTAGATTTTAGTCTAATATTTACCGTGACTAATTATTAGTCTAGCTATTATTACTATTATATAAGCGTTAAAAAGTACTTATATAACCCATAATAACAGCCTAAGTATTTATTATAAGGTCCTAATAACGTTAATATAATTAAATAAAACGCTATATTAAAAATAGCGTAGGCGTAGCTCACTTACAGCGGGTTTTATAGAAAACCAGGCTTTTCTTGGAGCAACATTTCCGAGCTGAAAAGCTCTTCTTCTCGGAGCCATCGAGCACTCCGGGGCTTCCGCCTCGTGCTAGGGAGGTTTCCTAGGCTTTTCGGGAGATTTTGGGGCTAGAGAGAGGTTCTAGAGAGAGAGAGTAAAGAGAAGAAAGAATGGGAAATGTGTGAAGAAAATGAGGGTGGGAGAGGTGGTATTTATAGGATGAAAATGGCTAAACTTGGTGCCACATGTCACCATCTAGTGGCAAGACTCGGGGAGAAAGCAATGGCCAAGATTGTGCCACATCACCCATTTTCGCACAACACACTTCCGACTTCTAAAATCCGTAACTTTCACATACAACCTCCATTTTTTACGTTCTTTATATCCACACGTAGGTAAAAATAATATCTACAACTTTCATTTTGACTCCGTCGGCTAACTCGACCGATCTTAAATTTAACAGTACGAGGCGTTTAGACTGTTAAATGACCGTGAAGAATTCGTAACTCCTTCATACGGACTCTGTTTTCGTCTGGATTTTTACTGTTAAGTTCCTATTAATGAGATCTTCATCTCTCATTTAAGTAATGTAAGCCAAAAACCGCTCGAACTAAAATTCGAGTTTCGGGCCGTGCAATGCTAAGCCGAATCTTAGAAAAATCATAACTTCTTCATACGAAGTCAGATTTGGGCGTTCCTTTTTTGGATTTTCTCGGTTTAACATATTATACAACTTTCGTTTAGATCACTAAGGCTAAAAATACTCCATCGTAAAATCACTATTTACGCTTCCCGGTGTCGTGCCGGTTCCGTCGCGAAACTTCGACGAGTCATAACTTCTTCGTTATAACTCCGATTTCGACGCTCTTTATATGTATGGAAATGTTGTGACATATTCTACAACTTGGATAAGATTATTTATTCTAAATAATATTTTGTCAAAAAGTCATTTTCGACCCCTATTACCTCTAGATTGACTAGCCCGGATCTACAGGCGTTACACGTTCAAGTGCGGTTAGAGAACTTATTATGGAGATCTGCGAGGCGGACACATGTAACCTGGGTTATTAGTGGATGAGGCGAGGTGCAAAGTGGAATGATGTATGAGTATGCGCTTAAGAAAAGATGAGTGAATCCACGATAGGGGCCATTGGTCAGAGAACTTATTGTTGCTAGGGATTTTTCGGGTTTGCAAGTGTTGAGTTCGAGGTGGTTGGGTCGTTTTTGTTCAGGGTGCTATGGATGTGATTTGTGGGAATAGGTATAGAATGTGATCTATACTCCAGTTGGGGCAGCAGTTGATTTATCAACCAATTGCTTAGTCGGTGTGAGTAGTTCTTGTGGGCGGTGACCAGTAGAGGGTGAAGCATCAGATTTCATCAACATGTTTTTAGTCAATGATGATTCCTCTGTGTTTCAATTTATTATGGACTAGGATTTTCTAATTGAGCCTAATGGACCAATAAACATTCAATTCGACTACTTTGGACCTAGGAACCCTAATTGGGCTCTAAATGGACCACATTCATAAAACTTTAGCATTTTGGGCCACGTGGGCCTAAAATAATCCATTTTATCCATATTAGGCCTTGTTGGGCTATAATAACTCGAATAGCCCTAATGGGCCATAACCTCCACTCCTTTTATTCAAATGGGTCGTGAACTCCCTTAACGGGGCCTAATAAGTCGAGAGCTAATTATTTGGGCCACATAGGATCATGACCAAGCATGTAAAGCCCAAGTTACTCATCCTTCCTCTCTTATTAGCCTCTCTCGGTCCAACTAGGTAAAAAAAGAGAGAAAATGATTAATTAACCTAATGAATGACACCTCATTTTTATTTAGAGGGTTACCAAGCTATTTACACACCATGTAACAATTCCATCTCATGTCTCCATGTAAAATCCCTTCTTCTCCTTTGTTTTTAGTTTATTTTCGGTTTTTATAAGTGTCACAAGAGTCATTTTCTTGTAAAAATGAGTCTTTATGATAATTATGACTTTAAAGGGGTTAAAAGTAAAATTTTCGCATAATGGGCCATATTATGGGCCATTACGGTTTCCTAGGGCCTAAAATGTAAAAATCTTGATTTTTTTGGATAAAAATTGTCATTTTTATCAAAAATGGGTTGAAAATGTAATTCTTTTAGAAATTGGTTGAAAACAACAAGATTTATATATTTTGGCCAAAAATATTCATTTAGATGTATTTGGGTTAAAAATGTTTAATTATATTTAGTTTGGCCGAAATTGTAAATACTTATGAATTTTGGGCCGAAAGTAAAATTTTAACCAAAATGGGCCACAAATGGTCAATATATTTGAATTAAGCCCATACCTTGAAGACTTTTAGTTTTAAGGGATCTAAAGTGTTAAATTTTGTAAAATGTGACTAAAATGTATATTTTCGGTCTAGTGGGCCAAAAGTGACACTATTACGAAAAAAAAAGTTAGATATTTTTATTGACTTGGTAAACCTCGAGCTAAAACAAACAATAAAATAATAACAAATGGATGAAATACATCGATAACAATTTTATTGGGCCTAATACTCTTGTTACATGGCCAATGGGCCTTAAGGGCCCATTTAAGTGTATATTGGACCTAATATTTTCCAAGACATGTTTTTTGGGCCTTGCGACCCTTTTACATGTTAATTTGGGTATGAGTTATGGATTACATGTTTATTGGGCCTTAGTGGTCGATTTATATGCCTATTGGGGCTAAATTACCTTTTTACATGTTTATTGGGCCTTAGTGGTCCATCTACATGTTAATTGGGCTTGGACTGAAAATCACATGCTTAGTGGATCTTAGCTACACCTCTACATAATTATTGAACATCATATATTCATATACATACTTTTGGATTTGAAAACTTACAACATACACATAAACATTATACATGGTCAAGAACATAACAATCGTGAAAAGTTGAGGATCTAGTGAGTTTTGTCAGTTGGCACCTTTGAGTGTACGATCGTAGCTTGTAGTTAGAACCAGAGTTTCCTGGAGGGAGAGCGGAAGTTTGTGTATCGATCTATACGGGGTGACCTCCCATGCCAAAAGTAGCAAACACACATGCCTTAATACTTGATTTTGACACATTACTTTCAAACTACTTTACAGAAAATATAGGATTTTCTGGTGTTTTACGAACCTTACAAAACTTTTCAATCGAACATGCTTATGAACTCACCAACATTATATATGTTGATGTTTTCAAAATAACTTGTATTCTCAGGGACTCGTTAAGCAGAAGAATCATCAAGAATATGGGATTTTGTTTTGTGTACTGATAAACATCATACATTGAATGTTTTGGTCATTTAATTTAAAATATTGTACTTTATGTAAACAATGGAAGTTGTATTATATTATGCATGGTGATGATGATGTTATGTTTCATTTATATTCACTGGAATGATATTTCAAGATGAAGTCACGCACAAGCCCCCAAACATTTGCGCCGTCTGGTTCGGGGGTGTGACAGATTGGTATCAAAGCATTGTTTATAGTGAACTAGCATATTTAACAATACATGATATGCAACTATAAATACAATGGGATTAAAAAACTCTGAATAAAATTCATACCTATATGTACATTAAAACTATAACACTAAATGTCTCTGGAGGAAATTGAACACCGTGGTTAAACCCGGACTGTTATGTAGTCGTATTGGGGTTAAATATAGCTTGATCAACTATATTTATTCAAAATACGACCAACATGTGGCTGGGAGTGATCATGTGGGGAAAATGAATCCATAAACTTACCTCATATCCAAAAAGACCTAAGGAACTCAAACTTAAACAATTAAAAAAAATACTATAGGAGTATTTGAAATGCTATCTATATACACTCTTCACACACCCCTTACCCCTCTGTTTCTCGTGCAGTCAGGATGGAAGACTACCAACAAGGTGTTCTTTACTACTAGACTCTAATGGCTAATATATTTCTTGAGGGAGACCCTGTCATGATTCGAGGAGAAGACCTAGGCCTAGGACCCAAGGAATATGTGGAGACCAATTATGATTTCGGTGAAACCAAGGAAGAAGTGGAGGAAGTGGAGACCATTACAGAAGTCCCCATCGAGCCTCCTAATTTTGAGAGGACACCGGACCACCCCGCAGCACCGGAGGCTTTAGCTGCTCGTGTGCGCTATTTGTAGGAGGAGGTTGTTGCCCTCAGGTTGCAACTTTAGGCAACAGAAGGCTGGGCAGAGCTAGCAGAATATGAGAAGGACACTGTTAATAGGGATATGAGCGAGTTTGCTGACCGTGTGGCACGACACTTCAACATTTAATCACCTATCAGACCCTTGACACTTTGACCACGATTAACTTTGTCTACTACCACTACTGCTAGGATGCCTTGTTATGTTCTACTATATGTACTATCGGTGACATGATTTCATGTATTGTATGCCTTAGGTAGGTAAATTTTCATGGAATCATTACTTTATCGTATTTTACATCATTTCATGTATTGTATGCCTTAGGTAGGTAAATTTTCATGTACTCAACATATTTTCTTTAATGAAAATGGCTATATATATTTTTCGCATGGTGTTGCATTCTGTTAAATGTTCTTCTACTTTTATTACATATTGATTCTATGCACTCACATACTCACGCACAACCGAACCCTCGAAACTGCTAGTTACTCACGGATCTCGAAACCAAAAAATGTATGAACTCTATGGATAGACTTGATATCCATGCAAAATCTACGATTACCTACTATCGTAAATACATCATAGGGATGTAGATTGAAACATTGTGAATCATACGACAAAACACGAAACTTATAGAGTACAACCAGAAACGACCGTCGTTACTTACGATCTTGCTTATCATCATGCAATAGAAAATGTCATCCCACAGGAATAACAGGAACACCTATGAGATACCAATCATGCAGATGGACTCTGCTACATTCCAAGCTGCTGTAACAACTGCCGTAACCACTGCTATGGCACAACTCAACACAAACAACACCAAAAAAGGTGGAAATAGCATCGACAACTCCATTCGAAGAAACAAGCACGAAAACCAACGAGTGACAGCTTATCAAGGCACTCCAAACCCCAAGCTTAAGATCAGGAAGCAAAAGTTTAGGAGTAAGAGAAAGGGACAACCAAATCAAGGGTCCTCGAAGAAACAACATGTTGTTGCTATCCATATGACAATGACACCTACTACATCAACACCAGTGAGACCATACACTGGAAGTCTTCCAAAATGAAACAAGTGCAATCTCCATCATAAGGGAGCCTGTCAGAAGCCGTATTGTAATAGATGCAACCGAAAGAGTCACACCGCCAGATACTGTAGAACTTATCCACAACAGAATCAACAGCCAAACAACAACAACAACAATCGCATAAATAGTAACAACAACACCAATTCGGGGGCCATTCACACCTGCTATGGGTGTGGAGGAACCGGTCACTTCAGGCGCAATTACTCCAAGGATAAAAATCAAGGGGTAGAAGGATCAGGAAGGGTCCTAACCTTGGGTCAAGGTGAAGCAATTCAAGAACCGATGGGTGTTACTGGTATGTTCCTACAATTATTTTTCTTGCATCTTATTCGATAGTGGAGCTGAGCGAAGCTTCGTTAGTAACAAATTCAATAACTGACTAAAACAACAACCCAAAACCTAAACGAAGCCTTCATGTTGGAGATGGCTAATGGGAAAAACTGAATCAACCAAAGGCATTTATGTAGGGTGCACCTTAACACTAAACAACCAGTCATTTAAAATAAATTTGAAGCCAATAAATATTAGGAGTTTTGATGTGATAATCTACAGGGATTGGTTAATTCCCCACCATGCTGAAATTATGTGTCGCGAGAAGGCCGCTCGCCTTGACCTCCCGAATCACGAAGCCCTAATAATCTACGGAGATAAACCTAGCACCAATTTTCGTCTCATTTCATGCATCAAGGCACAAAAGTGCCTGCATAATAATAACTATGTATTCCTCGCTCATTTGGTGATGAGGCCAAGGAAGAAGTAAACATTAAAGACATCCCAGTGGCATGCGAATTTCCGGATGTATTTCCTGAAGACCTTCTGGGAATACCCCAGATAGACAGGTCGAATTTCGAATCGACCTCATGTCGTGAGCCACATAAATTTCCAATTCAACTTACAGGTTAGCTCCATCCGAAATTCAGAAGTTATCCAATCAAATTAAGAGAATGGTTGAGCAAAGGATTCATCAGATAAAGCTTCTCACCCTGGGGAGCTCCAGTCTTGTTCATAAAGAAGATGGATCCTTCAGAATGTGCATCGATTTTAGGGAATCAAATAAGCACACTGTCAAAAACCGATACCTACTTCTTCGGATTGATGACCTATTTGAATAGCTTCAAGGATCCAGTTATTTCTATAAAATAGATCTAAGAACCTGTTATCATTATCTCCGAGTCCGAGAAAAGGAAATTCCAAAAAGTGCTTTACGAACTCGATACAACCATTTCAAATTCGTTGTGATACCCTTCGGTCTAACGAATGCCCCCACAGTATTCATGGACCTTACAAACCGAGGTTTCCCAACCATTCCTAGTTAGCCTTTTTATTATTTTCATTGATAACATACTCGTATGCTCACGAAGCAAGAACAAAACACTATCAACACCTATGACCGGTCTTGAAGGCATAAAAGCTGGAGCATATCACGGAGGAAGCACTGTATGGATGGGATAAAACTCTCAAAGTCAAAAGACAAAGCTTATTGTTATAAGAGTTGAATTGGGTGCTATCTGGGTGATCGACAATATGTTAACCAAATTTGCCCATTTCCTGCCAATAAAGAAATCGTACAAATGGAAAGATTAACATGGATCTATATGAAAGAGATCGTCAGACTCCGTGAAGTACCAGTATCTATTATCTCAGATCGGGATAACGGATTTACTTCAAGATTTTGAAAGTCACTTCAGAAGGTGTGACAACCCGATATTTCAACTCTATGTAACGACCTAAAAAGTCAATTATTGTAACCACTTTTTGTTATAATGACATTAAATTCAAAACATTATAATGTCCAAAAGTCTCTAATTAATTTCCTACTATGTTAGATATCATTAAACCGTGATCGTACGTAAAAAGAACGCCCAAATCTGACTTCGTATAAGGAAGTTTTGAATTTTCCAAGTTCGGCTTAGCAACAAACAACTAAAAACTTGAAACGGAGATCGAGCGACTTTTGGCCGGAATAACCTAAATGAGAATCGAAGGTCTCAACAATGGTTTTTCAATGGTAAAAAGTCTGGCAAAAACAGACGCTAGATATTGAAGTTATGAATTTCTAACGAAATTTTCTTACCGCGACCTTTTAAAAATAAATAATAAATATAATTTCAAAATTTGCCGACGGAATCTAAACGAAAGTTGTAGAGCGTAGTCTCACCTACGCGTGGATATAAAGAACATACAAAATGGAGTTCGTATGAAGAAGATATGAATTTTTGAAGTTTATTAGATAATAAAAATATAAAATTTATATTTAATTTCGCTATTTTCCGAAGGATGAGTCACGAGGCCGATCCGAGTTACGCCCAGCGTACTCGAGACCTAGGCCTTAGATCGTACACGTCGCCCCTATGCGAGGCTATGCCCCGTACCATCCGAAGCTCTGAGGCAGTCGAGGAAGCGGTCATGCATGACGCACGCGTACGCCAGCATACCGAGGCGGTTCCCACCCCCTATAAAAGGGAAGCGAGGGTTCCGAAGAAATGGCTCAATTTCTCTCAACTTTCTTGCGTTTTTGCCTCGTTTTCCATGCACGTGCTATCCCGAAGCCCCGGTTTCCTTGCTCAAGTCCCGAAGGTCGTTTGTGCTCCTGAGATTCCCGAGAATCCCGAGAAAATCCGCTTTCTCGAGTCGATATTCTGCTCGGTTTTCATCTCGCCTTCTTCGATCATTCAAGTGAGTTCATACCCCTATAATCTACACTTTTAAATTTTTTATAAATACTTTTATATGCTTTTAAGGGGGGGGGGGGGATACAAGTATAACACCCGATTATTACCGTGTGCTATATAAAGTTTCATTATACGCTTTTTATCAATGGAATCATATGTGATTTATAACTATTATAGAGAAATCTTTCGTATGCCAAATATACCACGATAACATCTTATCTTTGAAATAAGAAATGATTTATGTATATATGTAAATCAAAACACTCTGCTTATACTGTATGTATATGTGTCCATCTTTGGCACTATAAAAATTATACTTTTCATAAAAAGTGAGCATTTCACTAGGGATTACTATACAAACGAAACAAACTTTTAGAAAACTACAAAAATTATACTTTTCATAACAAGTGAGCATTTCACTAGGGATTACTATACAAATGAAACAAACTTTTAGAAAACTATAATAAGTATAGTTTTACGAGAACACTGCGAACTTTTACATACTAGAAATACTATTTCAAGAAGTTATTTTCATATACAAGAACAAACAAACATTTTCACACGTAAATCTGTTTTATACTAAGTTTTGTGAGACATTAAACTTCACGTACGCTCGAGTACACATTTCAAGTCCTGTATTATATACCATAATCCCTTGGAGGGGAGCATGGTGTTTGTGTATAGATCTATACGGGATTGATAACCCCGCGCCCTGACTGTTAGCTACAGTACACTATTTGGGGTGACAAACGTCAGAATATTCCAACACCTGAAGAACGTTGTATATAGGTATTTCTAGTCAAACAACATGGTTATAAAACTCACATGGAGTATCAAAAACACATTGATTTACGGGGTTTTTCAGACGTATTGGCAATTTTATATGTATATTAATTAACTACTTAAGGCATGAAAAACCTTATCGTGATAAAATTTTAGAACTTCTAAACCACTACCCACATACGGAAAAACATAAATTTTCTAGAAACAAACATTAGTCTTGATAGAAGGCTACATTTATACTAGTAGAGGATATGGGATTTTCTAGGAACCAACAAACAAAAACAAACCATTTCGTTTTAGTTCATGCAAATATTGTCATTTAATACTTATGAAACTCACCAGCTTATATGTTGATCTACTCTTTCAAAACTACTTGTATGTCCCAGGAATTCAGTAATTGCAAGTAACAAACATCTTCTGAAGAAGGTATGATGCGACGCTTGTTTAAATTCATATTTTGGCATCATATTGTAATTGGTTTTGAACGAGCACCTTTTAAACAATGTAAACTTTCAATTATATATATGATGGTTATATTGCTTTCTTTACTATGTATTTAATTGTTACGTTACCACATGAAGCCATC